GTTACAGGAGTTGAAACTGATGTATGGGATGCTGTTATCATTACGCTCATTTGCTTTGAAACTTTCGACAGCTGCTGGGTTAGTTGTCTAAATTTTATCCCAACTTAACCCTTTATATATATTTTGAGATTGCACTCTTTTTCAGTCATTTTATTTATGCATAGCCATACAATGTGATGGCCCTTAATTAAATGGAAAAGACAGTCATGTGGGAAATTATTTGGAATTCAGGAAATGAGTAATTCTTATTTCAGAATTCAACAAGTGAATAGTTTTGAAACTAGCCAATATAAATTAAATTATCTAGAAACACCTACTGGATTGAAAATGGTTCTTAATACGGATCCGAATGCAGCCGGTATTCCAGAACTTATGCGTAGCATTTACCAGGTAATGAAGAGCATGTATATTTGTATTTCCACTCACTTTCACTTAACCAGTCGAAGTATTGTACTCTTTTGTGGGAAGATTTTTGATGTAATTCTAGTTACAAGTACAAAAAGAAAAAAATAAAGCTGCAAGTACTGGAAAGAATACTTTGTTGTTGACTTGGTTGGGCAAGGAAGGAGATGTAAATGTAACATTAAAGTTATGAATATGTAAGTTAAGGCATATGTTGATGGAGTGATAAAAAATGTGTTAATTGAAAGCAATGTGCAATCCAGCAATGAAATTTTCAATAGCCGACTTGAACAACTAATTCAAAAGCATCCGGCATTTTGATTATATTCAACATCATTTCTATTTAGTCAGTTTTTTTTTTTTGCTTTTACCTCATACTTAATTAATATTGAAAAAACGGACGATAATTCTTAAAAGTCTGCTTCTACATCTGTACGATAAGTTACATGGATTGACTGGATGAATAAAGTATAAATACAATGTCTACCGCTCCAAGGATGGATGTGATATAAGGATGTAGAATAAAAATCAATAGAATACCCCTCTAAATTTATGGGCATTTTGTCTTAGAAATTTTTGTTGAATACTGAGGTTTAGTGACCGTTTAGAGATTTTTGAGAATTAAAAATAATCTAAAAAAACTGTTATGTTGATTTTTTTTCTTATATTTTGGACTGCTCGATGTTTTTTATTTGTAGGAGAAGCAGCATGAATGGTTGTGATATATTGTACTATAATGTATTACAACCAATTCTGCGAAATTCTCTTGGCCTGCGATCAAAAGCCCATGCAAAATAGATTTCCTTTGTGTTGAAAATATTGGAATATATCTTGAAATGCATGTTAAAGTATTGGAAACCATACGTATTATGATTGAAATGTTGTGTATCTGTATTATTAGTTATTGTTTCATAGTTTTCTTCATTGTATTCTTGTAAGTATGAATTCAGACATAACGATGTGCTCACAACAAGTTTTGTGCTATTTTATTTTTTTACTTCAATTATACAAAGGTACAAACATTGATTCATTGGTCAAGTTATACACTATATACAATAAACATTAAAGTTACTAAAATAACTGAAATGGTGACGTAATGAGAAAACATTCATGCAAGTAGATGTTGGAGGATAAGGAACAGTACATATATATATGAAGTATACATTGAAATTGTTATGATTGAAAAGATACTTAAATGACAAAACGAGAAAAAAAAAAAAGGTGTAACAAGACTAGGATATTATTTAGTTAGCTACAATAAACTAGATTTTAAGGTAACATATATAGGTTGAATCAACTTCTGACCACAAATGTGCTAACTAGTTTGACAATATTAGTATACTTTACAAGCAAACATTTAAAGATAAATGAGTTGCTCTTACTTGGATTTCAATCATATTGAAAATTCGACTATTACTGTAGTTGTGCTGCACGATTCAATTACTAAAAGTGCTATTCGTAGTATTATTAGCTACTGGTGCTATCAAAACGAGATTACCAATTACTATACTTTTATTACTAATTAATATTACTACCATATTACCATTATCAAACTTCCTTTTTTTTTTTTNTTTTTTTGTTTACTAATACTAACTCTCTCATCTTCAATGTTTATAAATTACGGAATATTTTTTCTCATATTACATCATGTAAACGGTGAGTTATCCATTTTATTACAAAAATTGTCCATTTTTTACTACAAAATTATCCGGAAATTATCCATCTTTTACTACGAAATTATCCGGAAATTATCCATCTTTTACTACGAAATTATCCGGAAATTATCCATCTTTTACTACGAAATTATCCGGAAGTTATCCATCTTTTACTACGAAATTATCCGGAAATTATCCATTTTCAGGCAAGGCATAAGTTATCCATTTTCAGTTCAAAGTATATGATACAATAATTTGTATTATTTTTGCTTGCAATTATTTCAATTCAGAAATCTTTCATTAAATTTTAGTAAAATCCATGAATTTAGAAAAATAAAATTCAAGAAATTTAAATAGTATTAATTTTCATAAATTGCAAAAACCTTCTAAATATATACTTTTCTTTTTTTTTTTTATTTATTAAGAAAAAGTGAAAAATAATTGCAGGTAATGAAAACATACCGATAGAAAATAGTTTATGTATGACTGTTGAGCATATCCGTGCCACAGCTAATAATCCGCAATCATTTTATCAATGCATACCATTTAGTGATCAAGAAGTTTGTTTAATTATTTACGATAAAGTAATTAGAAACATTGGATAAGATGACATATCTATAAATTGATAATATTATGGATCAATATTTCTACTGATAATAATAGTAATTAATAATTAATGAAATAATAATAATAATAATAATAATAATAATAATAATAATAATAATAATAATAATAATAATAATAATAATAATAATAATAATAATAATAATAATAATAATAATAATAATAATAATAATAATAATAATAATAATAATAATAATAATAATAATAATAATAATAATAATAATAATAATAAT